TGAATGATGCTCTTTTTTGAATCTTTAGTATCTCACAGTATCACAATATATTAACATTGTCTTTTTTTGTCTCATGCATAGACTCCTGTTGCAATTGAGTAGTCTGTGTGTGTGTGTGTGTGTGCGTGTGCACGCATGTAAATTAATAGACAGATATTTTAAAAAGTAGAGTGACATAAAAATGCAGCAGAGAGGTAATCCTTCAGGTGGCATGTCTGTGAGTGGTAAGCAAGATAGGTGCATTGGCAGATGGCCACACCCTCTAAAAACAAATGAGGGTCTTTCCTTGCACCAGGGTAAGGCTGTGTAAATTTGCCCAAAGTCTGCACAGTATGCAGTATTTAATACTTCAAAGATGTGTATTTCATTTTAGATGAAGCCTTTTTAGACCCTGTGAAAGCAATGTGTAGCCAAAATTATATTCCACATAGCAACATACACTCCTTAAATTGTTTCTAATATCAGCTACATATTTCGGTATCCTACGTCTGCATTAAAATTTATGTGCCCCACTATTAATACCTTTAGCTTTCTTCTGCATTCACAAAACTGTGATAATGAACTGAAATTGAATTCTGAATCCAAAGATATTCATTCAAAACACTGAAGAATTATTGATCCCTTTTACCCCTTTTCTCATCAACACTGCAGTAAACATCTCTGATGCTGAACTACACGTTTATAATATCCTATCATAATTGTGATGCAGTGGTTTTTCCTCACTTGCGCAGAAAAGTGAGATTTTATATTAGAGGCGCGTAGTTTCCGTTGAATTCGCTCCCCTTGCGTCCAATTACCGCCACGCCGCCGACATTCCCCGGAGCCCATCAGGGGGCGCTAGCAGAAAATGAACCGAAGAAGGTCTTTCTTCTCAAGTCTATGGTTTGTTTGTCTTCCGTTCCCCTTTCCCAGCTTCCTTCCAGGCAGTATTGGTTCATTCGGGTGGCTGTAGGTGGCCGAGAGGAAAGCCGGTAGCCCCTTCCGGAGGGCAGTTTTTGTTCCTGCGTGCCGCCATGGCGCTTTCTTCGATGCGGCAGGTGTTCGTCTCCGTCGTGCTGGTGCTTTGCGTGTTCGTAGCGATGCCCAGGATATTCAGTGGGGGCGGGAAGTCTCCGCGAAGTGCCAAAACCTCCTCTGGCCGGCCAGCTCCTCATCAGCCTCGACGTGGTATCGTACCGGCGCCCATCTCCTCCCTCTTTCACAACCCATCTCTCCATTGCAGTGCAGAGGGAGACCAAGATGCTAGCGAGGCAGCTATAATTTTTCTTAAGGGGCTTTCCTTGAATAGATGTTAGCTTGCTTTGGGGTCGTTTGAAAGTTTTAGGTTGAAATATATATAGAACGCTGGGGTTATTCCTCCAGTGAATTACATTTTGTTAATGAAAGAGCTAGTTATTGACATAACAGAGCATATGGAAAGGCCCTGCTCATCTTCTTATGCTGCAGCCGAATGAAATTGCCACAAGTCCTGCTGGCCTGACATTAAAATTTAGTCTGCAGATAGGGAACTTGTGTTAAAAGGAGCTGATTCTAAAGTGCCAGATAGAGATGCTCCTTAACATTTACACCAGCTTCAACTGTAACTGGAATTACTTGGAGAAGCTGATTCTTCCCTAGTTAGGTCAGCCTTTCCTGGCCTGATGTGGTGCATATTTGTTGGGTTACTATGCCTAGCACTTCCTAGTCGGCATGGACAGTAGGGTGTGGGCTATAGAAAATGGGGCTTGTCCTCCAGCACATTTGGAAGGCACCAAGATGGAAAAGATTGCTTTGGATTATTTCCCAGAAGGTTGCTTTTTTGTGTTGTAGAGATGCCTTTCTGTCTCTCTCTCTCTCTCAAAAAACCATGCCATGTTCTCTTTATAATAATGTCTTTTCCACCCCTTTTCTTATGAACTGTTACTAAAGCTAAAATAGCACAGGAATTCTTATTAATGTGTTTATCAACAGAACCCCAAGAAAATCTATACAGATATTGTATTTCAGCACATGAATTCCAGATTACAGCCCTAGTTTTTATTAACTGGATTAAATGGCTCTGAATTATTAAAATGTTTATTCTGTAGGTGGACCTGAGAAGATTCTGCATTCACAGATGAATTTGGAAACTCCTGAAAGTAAAACATATCAAAGCATCCAGCAAATGAGAAATGCAATGGAGAAGGAGTTGAAGACAGAACACACTAGAGGCAATGGCAAAGACTTTGCTTTAACCCTAATGCCATTATATGCTATTAGTGTGGGTGTGTTTGCTTTATACAAATTCTTAAAGGTAAATATTAAAAAGTCAAATCTAGAAGTCCAGTTAGATACAGGTGGAGTTGTGTTGTAATAAGCATCTTTATAAATGTGTCTTATTTTTTCAAATATACAGTATCACATAGAAATACAAGTTTTCCTTATCTTAGTAAATGCTGAGGTAAAAGTTAAAATATCACACAATCTGATGAAAGGTATTGGTATAGAGCAGAAGTACACAACCTGCTTCTCCAGGTCTGTATGTAGCTTCTGCATGATTTTTGTGGCAGCTCCTAGGACCTCCCAAGAATACAGTGGTACCTCGGGTCACGAACTTAATTTGTTCCGCGACTCTGGTTGCGACCTGAATTGGTCGCGACCCGAATCAAATTTTTCCATAAGGTTCAATGTAAATACGGTTAATCCGTTCTGACCCCTACGAATTTGGTCGCCAACCGATTTTGGTTGCGAACCGAATCAAATTTTCCCATAAGGTTCAATGTAAATACGGTTAATCCGTTCTGACCCCTACGAATTTGGTCGCCAACCGATTTTGGTTGCGAACCGAATCAAATTTTCCCATAAGGTTCAATGTAAATACGGTTAATCCGTTCTGACCCCTACGAATTTGGTCGCCAACCGATTTTGGTTGCGAACCGAATCAAATTTTCCCATAAGGTTCAATGTAATTACGGTTAATCCATTCTGAACCATATGTATTTTTTTTTAAAAAACCACAAAAATATGAAAAAAAATACAGTACAGTGCAGTACGAAGAGAGAGTACGCTAACCTTGCTCGAGGCGACTTCTGGTGTGGGGGACAGGAAGGTGGGTGGGGAGACGGCTATTGCTTGGAGGGAGAGTCCCCCTCCCTACAGGAAGCCACGACCACGTGTCACGGCAGGGAAAATGGCCGCGGATCCTGTTCGTTACCCGATGTGGAGTTCGCGGACGGAAGCAAAATTTTGCGAACGGTGCTGTTCATGACCCGAATTGGTCGTGAACAGAAGTGTTCGTGACCCGAGATACCACTGTACTTGGGAGAAAATAATGTATATATGAGAAGTAATTAAATTTGCTATATTTTAAATCAAATTGCATTTTGTCCTGGTCTTGCCATCTTTTTGGAAGTTGCATCATGCAACTGATAAAGTCTTGACCTGAAAAAGGTTGCATATCTCCAGTTTATAATCTACTTCAGATGCATATTCTGGATTGCTATTGACTTAAATTTATTAAAGTAGTGAAAGTAACTAGAAATCATGCCAATGTAAGAATATTTGGGGGGGGTATGCTACTTTATACTACTGTTGGTTTATTAGTCTTATATATTTGAGGCTACTATAGAAATTATGTTTTATTATTTTATAGATGAAATCTCAGGAAGAAAATTTTTCGAAAAAAGAAAAAAATGCAGAAGACAAAACAAAAGAAACAGGTAAGAACTGGGTCAAAATGTTTTGCTTAGAGTTTTTATATCCTTAGTGACCTAGTACAGATTATTAAATGTTAGTTTAATGTGGAGATTTATATATGAGTTCATTAATCACAGCTTCCCCATTCAGACAAAACAGAAAGGTTTATGCCAGATTTTATTAGTGCTGCATTGCTTAATTGGTTAAGTGGAAAACTCTTTTTGTCTTTATTTAAATTACTGTTCTGTGATGGTAAATTCTCTGTTCATCCAAAGAGAACAGCTTCTCATCCAAAGAGAACACCTTCTTAAAGCTGAAAAACAACCAAAAGTTTAATATACTTTGCCTGAAAAGTGAATGCATCAGCAAAGAAAAAAGGTTATGAGGAATTGTGTCTCTTTAGAATTCTTTTTCATTATTGACATTCTTTTAGAAAAACCGAATTCATGCTGATAGAAGTTGCAGTGGATGATTGCAACAGCTTTTGGAGGCAAAGCAGAGACTTGATTCTTTAGATCAGAAAATGGCATAGTTAAAAGCCTTAATGATTGATTCATGTGAAAAGAGTCACTCACCTTGAGAATCCTAATAAATAATATGCCTCAGACCTTGACACAGTGTTCAAAATAAAGACATTCAAGATGAAATGATCCATTTGCTAGGCAGAAATAACTTACACTCTTTAAATATTCCTTACAGTGCTGAGAAACATCATCAGTATTTATGGAGAAATGTATACATGAGTTCTTTTCATTCCAGGTATAGCTGGACATTAAAACTGCTTATTGTGAGGGTTTCTATTTCAGTTCACTGCTGGAATGGCAGTCCTATTGCAGTAAAAATTTTTGCTCTGCAAAATGGAATCATATCTGACTTCATAAACACACAAGCTATTTAGCAAAGTTATTTTGGCAGCAAAACAATGATAATTTCATTTTAATTTTTAAACAACATTTTGTTTATCCCTGGATAAACAATATACTGTCTCTATAACTGAATACAAAATGGTTTAATCAACATTCTATTCAAGTTGAAACAATTTACATTGGTTATCTGAAAGTATTTTTTAAGAATAATGTTTGGAATTGAGTTATCAGTAATCTTAAATTCAATAAAATAGATTGCTAATTAGGCCACCTTGTATATAGCATGACACTGTAGATATGACTTCAAAGAAATAAAGTCTTAAAATGTATCTAAATGGGGCATTCATTGTGTTGATTGTATTGGAGCTAAATCAGCTTAAATTCCTCTTCAGTGCTTTGTGGCTTTGTCTATAGTAGTTGTCTTTGTTAGAAATGGCGTTCCTTTCTCAGTTCAATCCTTCAAATCTCTGTAAGGTCATTTTTGAAAAATATCTAGGCATAAAACAGTCTAGTTTTGTTTTCTAACAAATACACATGAAAGAATAGGAATTATTTAATGTGTATTTGTTAGAAAAATGTTTTGTTTCAGAACCCACAGTCTGAACAGAACTATGGCTATCATACTTCCACTTCTGCCTATTGCTTTAGTTTTTTGTTTAATCCTAACAATGTTAAATCTGAAGTAAATTTCAGTGACTTTAAATAAAATTTAGTGTTATGCCATTAAATGCTCTATAGGCTGGATATAAACTTCCTCTGGAAAAGTAAATATAAATTACTTTTTAATTGTCTACATATAGTTATTGTAATCTTTCTCATGAGTAATGCTAGCTTTTTAAAAAGCGTATATTCTCACTTTTAGAGCATCAGCTTTTGGAACTGGAACAACATCTTGCACAAACAGAAAAAATGTTAAATTCATTATTGACTCAGTTAGATCCACTTTCAAGCTGGTGAGTAAAATAGACTAAATCATGGCATTTCATTTAAATAATATGTTGTTTATCTTCAGATATGGGAGAGAATGTTTGTGAACTTAAAATAAGAACAGAAATGCCAATATAATACCACAAATGAATGGCATGGTTTTTCCATATTTTTGGCAATGCTTATTACAACTGATGTTTCATTGGGACAGTTTTACCCCTTTTAATAATTTGCTATTTGTAATTCATAAAAGGAATAATAATTAAAATTTCAAGGTGCCATCATTTTTTACCATTTATTTCTTTCAGACACATAATTTTTATTTATTGTTGAAAAAATTATACCAGTATCATCTTAATGAGGTGGTTTAAAATTTATAACATTAAATATGCCATTGAATGAATGAGAAAATAAAGGTACATCAAGCTTTTTTATTTCTTTTGTTATGCCTGTTATGTCTTGAAGTACAAGAATGTAAAGATGCCTATAGTTGCTCATGACTACTTGAAAGTGAATATAGCTAGTTTCTATTTCTGCATTATCAAAATAATTGTTTGCAGATTTGTATTTTAGAATTCTTGCAGCAGTGGCTTTTTAATGTAACTAAAAACATGTAGTGAATGGCAAATTGAAGGAATTTCCAGTACTTTGAAAAGGCTGTACTAATATCATTGAAAATTCCATTAAAAAAAGTTATCAGACTTGAAGGCAGTAACCTGGTTTGGATATAGTACTAATCTGTGTTTTATATTGTATATATATGTTCCTAGAATAGCCTTAAGATAGTGAGTAGAAACTTTCATTTCAGTTCCTAACTTAAGGAGTTTCATATTAGCTGGGTTCTCACCTAATACTGTTGGTGGGTGGGGATGGGAGTATATAGAAACAAGCAATGTAAACATCAGTTTGAAATTTAGTTTTTAATTGAAGTAAAATATAATTAGTGTGCTTGTGGTTCATCTAAATTTACAATAATATGTTATATCCATGATTGAAGAATGGCATCCTGTACCATATTTGCCAGGTTCCCTTGACCCTCTGTGCAGCATTTTCAAAAGTAATGGAGTTGCTGCTATAGGAAAATTTTCTAGATGCCTATTTGTACCATTACTATTCCATGTCCTAAACATGTATTCAACTTCTTATTTTAATGGAACTGTAATAATTATTTTCTGTCCTGATTAATTAATTCCTAAGTTTTTGGCTTTTCAGTATAAATACACTGGCTTCTGAGCAGAAATATGAAATTATGGAACAACTTGAGTCCATTAGGAAGCTGATGAAACAAAGTGGATTGGACAAATCGGCCATGAAACCACAAGGTACTTTTTGGGAATTTTAAAGCTTTCTAATAAATTACTACTTGATATCCTGATTATTATTTTTTAAGAAGGTTTTCCTACTCTAACAAATGTTGTAACAATCTGCATGTTCTTTGGTGTATATGAGTTTCCTTGTTCCATTTGATCTGTTCTAGAAGTTCCAAGCAAGGGCAGACTTCTTACTGTTTCTCACCACACTAGCTAACATATTATGTATGACCTATTAACTTGCTTGTTGAGCAAACTGCAACAACTTGCTTTATGATTTAATAGATAAAAACTGGTCATCTGTCAAACTATTTTAACGTGCTCTGTATTGTCATGTAAAACAAAATCTCTTCCTTGTTTCTAATTTTCTGATAGTAAATTGGTTTAATTGCAAAACCAGCAACATAATTATAATGTTGTGTTTCCATTTTCTTTTTGTGTGTATTAAGATATTAGCCATACATGCCAAGAAAAGCTTGAAGATCTTATTCAGTCGTTCAGTGAACATCCTGAGGCAAAAGTGGATGAGGGGATTTATGAAAAATGTGAGCATGATATCTTATTTGAAGATATGGAGGAGCCTCATGGTGTAAAAAATTATCAACACTTTGATCATGAATATTTACTTAGTTCAATGGAAGAACCAAAGAAGACAGAAGTAACTAATCAAGATGTAACAGAATTAGATACTGGGTTAAGACGACGACTTAGGAATGAATGAAAGTTATACTTGGGAAATTGTAATGAATTTTGCACATATTATACAATGCACTTTTAAATTCTGAAATATATTCACATGACTGCTGTGTGTTTTAAAATAAGATATTTATGAAATTTTCCTATTTATTCTGAATAAAATAATTTCTGCATATAGTACACTGAAAATTCTATATAGCATCATAATCACACAGATTCATTTTTTAAAGCAATTAAAGTGTAGTAATGGCCACAGAAGATGTAAGTTTGTTAATATGCCCCTGCAGAAATGATTTACAACAAATATGGAATGTTACTCCTGTGTTAGTTACTTTACATTTCAGTGTAAATTTAGTATCGATTCTGATTCTGATACTCTCTTGTTTTGAAACAGTGGAAATAGGTTTATTCCTTTGAAACAAACTACCTATATTTCTTTACATTAAAGGTTCTTTTGGTTGCTGAACAGTATTGAAAAAATAAAATGTAGCAGTTAAATACAATATATGCATCAAGATAGCTAATTATAAGATGAATTGCACATGACACTGAAGCTATTATTATATTTAATTATTTAATATTTAATAAGATGTTTTGCTGTCATTTAGTCTACTTAGTGTTCCCTAAAGAATGAACCAGAACTTATACTGCTCTCCTCAGAACAGCTGGGGTTCTGTGTTAAAACTACTGAATCATCTGTACAGCTTTGCTATGCATTTATTTACTAACTGTGGAAGATGCTACTTTGGTTAAATATCTCACTGTCAAGTTGATGTAAATACTGATTAACAGTGGGCCAAGGATGCATCCTTTAACTCCCCTTGTGGTTGTAAATGCCTCACACCTTATTCTCAGATTGCTGTTGTCGTGTAATATATGTATGAGGGAAAGGAGGTGATAATCCATTGAGTATGGATTAGCAGCAGCAGCAGCATAATTCTCATAATCTGCAGCCATTTAATGACTCTCGAAATTACTCTACCGAGACCCTGTTAAGTGGAAGACAGCAGAACCTGAGAGAAACGTACACCTGAGCAGGCAACTGCTTCCCAAACAAAAACCGGACGGAAATCAGGAAAAGGAAACAACCCGGTCAGGGAGCGCGCTTCAGACTTTTCGTGAAGGCGCGCGCAAAAGGGGCGGCGAGCGCGCGAGCTGGGCGGCTAGGACCGAGCGAGGAAAGCGTTGGCGGGGAGAGGTGAGGGTGGCGGGGGCGGTTCGGTCCCCCCGAGCTGGGTCGCGCGCGTCCTCCTCCCGTTTGTTTTCGAGGTCACTTTCTGCTTTTCAAAGCGGGGCGCGGGAGAAAGGAAAGCTTTCTGTTTGTTTACTGGGAACCTTAGCAACCATGGCAGCGCCCCGCCCCCCCAGTAAGGGAAATGAGACGCGGGCCGAATATTCTGCCATTGAGAAACAAACAAACCAAAAACCCCTCATAAGACGAAAACAGTTGGGATGCCTATTTCGCCCTTCGCTCTCCGGGCTCTGTTAGAATTATTTTACAGAAACTAACCGGGTCAACCCACGTAGAAGAAAGCGTCTCCCTCTGAGCATGCGCAGAGCGTGTTTTCTGCGTGCAAGGCATTTTGTCTGATAGGTGTTGAGCAGGTGCAGGGAAATCGGGTTTTGTCACTAACTGCGAAAGACGCAAATTTGCTTAGTTTGCTAGGAAGTCACAGTTGACAGCGGGCTCTCGAGGCAACAGGTCTCTGTTGTGTGCGAGTTTTGGCTGAGAAAACATGGATACTTCCGGCAGGTCTTCCAAGGCTTAGAACTTACCGCTTTGTTCTTGCTGCCCCAGCTTCTGATCTGAAGTCTTGGCGAAAGCCAGCTGTGCCTCCCATCTACAGGCAGCGGATTGGCTGTGCGTGTTCGTCTGTTGAAACAGGCACTCTGCAAAAAACTCTATTTGTACTGTTCTCTGTACTGCCTTTTCCTTCCACTCACACGTATATCTGCTTATGTAAAAGTACGGATGGTACTGGTTATTAGGCCTATGTAATCTTCAGAAAGGAGCTTTGCAACACACCTAGGTGTGAACACAGCATCTACCTGCTTTTTTTTTTTAAAACAGTCACATCTTTCCCTAGTATCATATGGTGGCTGCAGATAGCCTATTCTAAAATTGAAATAATATTTGAATGTTTATGGATTCTGGTTGATCAGCCATCTCTGATTGCACTGTCCGTCTTCTGGATATATCTATAAGTTTTATTGTATGAATATGAGAGGTTTGAATAAAACTTTGCAAAATATTATTTCACAATTAGTTAATCTCTTGTTTCTGTGTCAAGATATGTGTGTCTTTAGGGCCAATAGTATGCAAGACTGGTTTCAATGACTAGCAAGCTGCTTCTGCTGGGATTCGAAAATGAATTGAAGCTGTTCGTTGTAATAAATTCTGTTCAATGCTTTTGAACAGAATTTCAGTTCAACAGAAGATATACTAAAAGTGAAAGAAATACCTGTTTTATTTTGTTGAAATCCTTCTTATAGCACTTGGTCTTCCCCCACCAGTCACCTTTCTAATTTTAGTTTTCAGCTCCATTTTAAGTTGTAAACAATTCAAATGGACTTGGAGGTTAAAGGAATTGCTGCATCTCCAAGGAGACAAGTTCCACTGTCCTCTCAGGTAAATTTAAAATTAACTTCATAAAATTAAAAAATGAATGTTTGTTTTTAAAAGATTAATGTCTGTAATTAAAAAAAAACAATGCCAAAGAGTTTAAGAAGCTAAGAAAAATAGAAATATATATGATTGCTATGAATTACAGCATCCAACTCTTTAAAGACAGCTGTACCTTGTGATCAGAAACATGTATGCATCCATTAACTATAGAGAAACAAGATTGTACTGTATAGCCGTACATCACTGAAACCTGGTTGGGTGTTTGCGTGTGTGTGGGGTTCCTCTGTAATAAACAAAGTGTGCCCTCCTGGCTTTGAGCGTGGCACCAGGGTAGGGGTGGGGGAGTGACTGTTGTTATCTGGAAGTATTTGGTCACTTTTAGGGGTGGTACTCCAAACATAGCCAGGTGTGGTGAGGTTGGGCCATAGGGATCAATTGGGACTGCTGCATGCTTAGTATCCTCTCTGAAGTTTAGCAGCATCCCTTGTCTGAGCTCTTTGACTCATTTCATCAGGTTAGATACAGTGGGGACACTCCAGGTCTCTTCTCTTACATGTTGCCATCTAGTGGACCTAGGAAGCACTCCTTCTCTGTGGCAGACCCTGGCTGTGTGGAACACCTTCCTGCTGAGATCTGGCAAGACCCTACCTTCCTAGCCTTCCACAGGGCCTTGAAGAGCTCAAGCATTGCAGTAGAGTGAGGGTGGAGCCCAGTGAAGTTGAATGTTGATGTGTGGGGGAGTGTAGCTTTTGGGGCACTGGGAGTTTCTGTGCTAGCTTTATTTTATTACTTTTTTGTTGTTTTTATTGTTGTTTATAAGCCACCCAGAGTTATTGGTGCATAAGATGAGCGGCTATATAAGTCTTTTAAATGAGTAAAATAACTAAATAGATACCATTTTGGTTGGCTATTGAAATGTTTCAGAAAACTTAATACTATTAAAATGAGTAATTTTTTGTTGGAAATGTTGGGTAATATTTCAGAAAAAAAAAAAGATCTGGAGTTGTTTCAACCATCTTTCTGAAGAGCGCACCATACATTTCTTCTGTCAGTTAAATGTAACTGAAAGTGATTTGGAAAGTGAAAACAAAAAAGATCCACATTTCCAAACATTGTTTATTAGCACATATGTTCCTGGTTTGGATCTAAAATTACATTTCTCTTCATTTGTACAAATACTCTCTTTCTTTTAGATATATAATTGTTTTCTAATAGCTACTATTTTGTTGTATAAATCTGCATCCTTAGGGCATACCAGTTATAGTTGATGTAATCTGCAATAATTTTAAGTAGAGTTCCTATCTTATGGTCTATTTCTTGCTTTTGTTTTAGAAAAACCAAGTGTTTTATTAAAGAAATTTTATTTTTTTCTGAAATGGCCCTAGTGACGTTTCAACAGATTATGTGAGAAACATTTTTCTGTTTTAAGCTTTCTGATTGGAACAGTAAAACAGAGCATCTTCCGGGAAGTAATTTTCTGTACTAACGTACTCTTTCAAAGAGCAAGCTGATGTACTTAGTTGTACTGGACTGTTCAATTATCTGCTTGAAAGGGCAAGTTGATATGTTTCTCCCCAAGTAATTTGAAAGAAGCATCTGGTTTTGGCAGTATTTGTTGATATATTATCTCCAATATATAAGAAAATGTCATGAGGTGGTAAAAGGAGGAGGAAAGTTTCTGTCCTTCCTCATGGGATATCCATTTTACCTCCCAGGGCTCTGGTTCCCATACTTCAGAAGAAATTAAATAATTTTCATTTTCATTCAGCTGTATTGAAAATGAACCCCTTAGAGTTTGGTACAGGATAGGGGGCTATATAAATGCTTGAAACAAACAAACCAACTTCTATAGATAAACTTGTTACTCCATAAAGTACCACAGAACTGACCAAAGCTCTTTAAAAACATAGCTTCCATTCCCTTGGATTTCCCTTTAAATAAACTACTGCTCTATAGTAAATTTAATTTCCCTATGGTATGTCTTTCTTTTAAAATCTGACTCTCATTTAATGTCAGAGTTTCATAGAGTATGGATAAACACGAAAGCAAACAAATAAACAAAAGCTTTATGTTATTTTTAGGGTTGGAGGCCAAACACAAGATTAAGCCATGGTCCTCGACCAGCAGAGTAAGTTTATTTTCCTTTTTAACCATTTCTGTGCAAAACACATACTAATTTAAAACAAACAGTTCAAGAAACACTTTTTTCCTTTAAAATATTTCTGAACTAGGGATGTCACATTGAGTTTGGCAGGCAGCTGAGAGGGATGACAATGCAAAGAAAGAAGTGTCCTGTGTTCTGACATGAAATCATAATTATGCTTTATATATTTTGCCAAATATTTGAAAGATGGAATTAAATTTGCTGAGTGGTAGTGGTAGTATCGGATTCAGGAGTTGTGCAGCCTCGTGAAAGGTTTCTGCTGGCTGAAAGTTCCATATGCGTTTTAAGTTATTCAAGCAGACACTGAAATTTCATTATTTTTAACTCTAATGTCACATTGTTCATTTGCTAATATTGATTTGAAATAGCAGATTTCAAAGGGTGATTAGCAAACATTGCCATTCCCTTGCTTCTGTAAACATGAAGCTGTCTGTGGCTGTCTGGATACAATTGTTTGAAAACTAAAAGTGATTAATATTGGAATTCCATTTTTACTTTCATATCCCACCTTTCCTCTAGGAGCTCAAAGCAGCATACACAATATTCCTCCTCTATAATTTTTGCTTTACTTAAGTATTTAGCAATGTAGATACTTTAATGTTGATAGACTGAGAACTAATGCTTAAAGTTAGGAACTGTAGAGTAAAATGTTCAGTTCTGTAGAGTAAAATGCTATTATTTCAGAGTTCTGTATGTAAAGTATATAAATATGTTTTGCATATTTGTAAAAACAATTTTGCACAAACCTGTGTAAATATATTTTATGGAATGAGCCACCCAGAGTCACCCTCTGGGGGATATGGGCAGCATATACATTTAATAAATAAATACATAATAAAGTATATTTAAAGATGTTTGGGATCGTAGGGTGGGACTAAGAGTTTTTATGCATGGAAAGAGAGAGATACATTGTTCCTGCTGAGGAATATTTGAATCAGGTATGTGGAATCTTTAGAATTATGTGCTAGAGAATTTAGAAGAATTTTGAAGGTAGAACACTAGGTTTGATTTCTAACTAATGGGCTTGAAGCTACAAGTTAGTATAAATGCAGAATGATGATAAAAGCCTTGCTAAGCACTTTTCTCCATCTTAACATTGTAATTAATTGGTAATCTCTCTATATTATGCTCACATGCCACAGATTAATTGTGACCTATATGCTTTTTTTTCTTAATTAAAATAAGATACAGATCACATTTAATATAGATACTTTCTGTATTTATACAAACTTGATATAAGTGGAAGATGGTCTGTATGATTATAAACAACCGATTTGCTATCAATTAATTATGAGAGATAATAGATGATTTTGACTTGCTGATTTTTAACAGAAATGTAAAAAAAAAGTCTCAAGTACTACTTTCTTTGCTTCCTGAAAAAAAAGTGGGCTTTTTTTTTCTTTAAGCCATTTTAAAAAAATCAGCAAATCTACTTTGAAGGAAAATATTGGTGACATCTGAAAATTGGGGAAATTTAAACCTGTATTATAATTTAAAATTTCTAATTCTCCATAGAGTGCCATGTCTTGACTTGGGAAAGTTGGGAGATTCAGAAGATGAGGTAATAGCTGTTTGTTCTTTTGGAAATTATTAAATATATGCAAATACTAAATATGGCAGTTGTTAGAATACAAATACTGGGACAGAAATTAAAGCAAATCTCATGGCATGCCTTAGTTTTTACTTGCTTGTCATTTGCTAATTTTCCTGGATTTATATAAATATTTTAAGAAGCTTATATACAGCTATATTTGTCAAGTTGGTCATTAAATAACTGAAAAACTCCTTCTCTTTTATCATCTTATTGTTAAGTTATGTGAAACCCCATGTTTTATTTATATTTATTTATATATCAAATTTGTCATTGCCCATCTTGGTAAAATGCCTTTGAACTGTGGTGCTGGAGAAGACTCTTGAGAGTCCCCTGGACT